TATTGAAATTCTAATCTACTGTGATAGTATGCTTTAAAAGTGGTATATTTGATCAAATGAAATTTTCTATTATGAATAAAAATTTGAACAGCTGAATAGAAATATATATATATGTACACTTAAATGTATATACAGGAAGTAAATTTCAAATTTTTACATACGTAAACTATTGCGTTCACTGAAGCTCTTATCGTATTTACTGATAGATCTCAAAATGAATAAATAATATTTCAATATTAAACATTTCTATTCTTTGAAATTTTAGGTAAACAACTTGGAATTGGAGGCAGAGTAAGGAAGTATTACACAAATGTTAAACAGAATGTAAAATCATTTTGGAGAAAATTTTTTGGATAAAGGAATTATTTTCTTAATATTTTAATGAATCTTATAATATAAATACTATAATTATGTATAAAGAAGACTTTTCAAATTATTAATATATATATGTATTCAATGGTGTGATTATAATTAATAAAAACAATTTTTAAGTGTGAATCAGTTGTTTATTTTGCTCACGTCTACATTTATTAAATAATATTTTTCGCTGCTTAGAAGATAGAAATAGATGTAAATAAATAAACAAGCATTTAGGTAAAAAAAAAAAAATTCTTCTATATGCGTACATTAAATTACGAGGTATTACAATCGTTGCAGGTTAAATTTTAAAAAGATTGAATTAATAAATTTTTAGATTAACACTATAGAAAAAAATCGCGCTCCAAAGCGCGCGGCTAACTTCTTACTACTTTTTTTAAAATAAAATTAGCAATTTTAAAAATAATAGAATTTAAAAATTTTCTAATTAAAATTTTTGTTGAAAACACTAAAAAAATTCAATTTTGGAGAAATTACAAATACGAAATTCAATTATTATAAAAAAAAATAAATTTTTTTTTATTAAATAATAAACTTTTTTTAAGGAATTCAATTATTATTTTCATAAAAAATCATTTTAAAGTCTAGAAAATAATAATTGAATTAAAATGATGAAAATAATTTTGATGAAGTTACAGTAACAGTATTCTTGTAATGTAAAATAATGATTTTATCACTCGGCCATCTTTAATTATTAAAAAACATGAAGAAATCGATCACTCCAAGTCTTCGACTTGGAGCAATCGATATCTTCATGTTTTATAACAATATTCTTATATTGTTTAATTTTAAAAAAGGTTTGAGTTTAAAATTTTCAAATATCTTTATTTCTGTGGAAAATCCTGTTCCAAAAATAAGATTAAAAAGAGAAATTGCGCAAATATTTTTCTTCTTTTTCTAGAACAAAATAATAATTTTGTTAAAAAAATTGTGATTCATAAACAAAAATAATGCAAAATAAATAAATTTTCTATTTCTTATAATCACAGTTGTCTAATTTTGTTTAGAAGTAAAGAACAAAAATTGAATTTCAATTTGAGAAAACATAATATTTAACAAAATTTTAGTCTTTAAATGAAAGAAAGTGAAAAAAATTCTGATCATTTCTATTTTTTATTAAAATATTGGATTAATTATTAAATATAAACAAATTATAACATACATACGTATATACATTATAATAATCGTAAAGTTTCCCTTTCCGTTAGCAAATTATCTGTATTCGTTTGTTTGTTTTGAAAATTAATTTTTGTATTTATATATATATTATATATTATATATTAATTAGGTAATTATTTTAGAAGTGTTAAGGAGATCAAACCTACCAGAGAAAGAGAAAAGAGGTTAAAATTTTCGAAAAAAAGTATTACATATTTTTTGAATAGTCTTAATAAAAAATTCCTTAATCGTTTTTTTAAAATTAGTAAAAATTTATATTTCTTATTTTTGTTAACTTTTATCAAAAATAAACTGTTTTGAATACGAATTAAAAAAATGTGGTTATATTATATCTGTATATATAAAAGACGAGTTTTGCCGCATAATAAGAAAGAAAAGATTTGAGGAGAACGAAGGATCATAGTCTATACTCTCTTATGAATAAGGGATGAGGTAAAATCCTGCGTGAGCGTTCTTGTCAGTCCTCGCCATTTGAATGACGGACTGATTCTTGGTAGCATAAAGCTTTTTGCAGCTTATGACGCCATTAAAATAAAATAAAGCTCTCAGCTTCTCTGGCTCATCCTTTCCCCATCCTTTATTTCCGTCATCTACCTCTTAAGATTTCTCTCATCCTAAATGTATCATATATCTATATGGTACCGCCTTTTTTTAAAACTATTTTCATTTCCTCCTTTTTTCGCCTTTAATTTATTGTATGTATATTATATAAATTTAATAATACTACGAATTTGATATATTATTATGTCAAAATATAACATATTTTAATTTAAAAACATTTTTTGCATGGAAAATTAACTATAATATTAAATTTTCAAACTTCAAACTATATAAAAAAAACTTTAACAAAATTTCCACAAGAATTCAATTATTTGATTGATAACTTATAAAATTTTCAAAATATTTATTATATTTCGAAAAAAATAATAATTTAAAAGAATGTTCATAAAATTCTTATGATTCATTCAAAATTCAAAAAATAATTCAAAAATAATGAAATTTTTCACAGAAATTCAATTCTTTTTAAACATTTTAATAAACTTTTCCGCAATAATTCAATTATTTTATTCAAAAATAATAAAATTCTTCTCTGTAATTCAATTATTTTTGAGAATTATAATAAAATTTCGATCAACTATATATATATATTCAATTCTTTTCATAAATAATAAAATTCATAGCAGGATTTCAATTATTTTTAATATACAATTTTACAGGAATTGCTCAAAAATGTAATTATTCTTAAAAATTTAATTTCAATTTCTCGAAAAAATCAATTATTTAAAAAAATTATTTTTTAATATTTTTTGGAAGGATTGAATAATTATTTTCAAAAATTTAATAAAATTATACGAAAGAAATTAATTGTTTTAAATACAGTTTTAATTAAATTTTTTTTTTGAAATAATTCAATTATTTATTTAAATTTTTTCTAAAAATTCAATTATTTACACAAATAATTTTTAGAAAGAATTCAATTATTAAAGATAAATAAGAAAATTACTCCCGGAAATTTAACTATTTTGAGGTATTTTAATAAAATTATTTTCAAAATTCAATTATTTAAATAAATAACAATATTCATCACAATAATATTACAATTATTTTTAAAAGTAAATAAATTTTTTCTTGGAAATTCCATTATTTTAAAAAATTCTAATATATAAGATTTCAATTATTTTTATAAATAAATAAAATGCTTTTTAGGAATTCAATTATTTTCAAAAAAATTTAATAAAATTTCCCACAGAAATTCAATTATTGACAAAGTTTTTAATAGAATTCTTAATAAAATTTAATTATCTTTAAAAACTTTTCACAATTCAATGATTATCAATATCTACTATTTTCATATAATTTCCAAACAGAATTCAATTATTTAAAAAATGGTTTGTAAAAATTTTCGTAAGAATTCAATTCTTTTTATGAATAATAAAAATTTTCATAAATTCAATTATTTAAATTAGAATTTGTATAAAATAATTCGAAAGAAATGAATTATTTAAAAATTTTTATAAAATTCTTCGCAAGAATTATTATTATTATTATTTTTATTGATAAAATAATTTTTTATAAATATATTTTTTTATAATTAACTCTGAAGTTGTCTTCTATTTATATTTTTGTTTTTGTTATCTTTAGATAACTAGAAAATTTTACGCGCGGAACGTGATATTCAATTTATTATTGTTATGCAAATTACAAATATTTTTAATCTTCAAATATAAATTTTTAAAATAATTTCATAATCAAAATTTAAAAAATTCACTTATTAAGTACAAAATTAATTATTACTGCGTTCATATTTTCTAAAATTTTAATAAATCCTTCGAAAAAATTCAGTTATTTTTATAAATAGTTAAATTCTTCACAAGAATTAAATTATTTTTAATCAAATTTAAATAACATGAAATTAAATTACATGAAAGAATTTAATTATTTTCAAAAATTTCCATAAAATGCTATTTCAACAAGAATTTAAAATTCTCTAAAAATAATTCAATTATTCTCAAAATATTTTTAAAAAATTCTATATAAAAATTAAATTACTTTCAATGCAATTTTTAAATATATGCGTCAAAAAAATGGAAAAAATTTAATTATTTTCAAAAAATAATAAAATTCTTGTGATGAATTCAATTATTTTAAATATATACCTATACTTAATTTTAATAAAAGTCTTTAAAGAAATTCCATTATTTTCGAAACAACTTTAATTGAATTTCTCGAAAAAATTTCATTATTTTAAAATATTTCTATAAAATTCTTCATAACAATTTAATTATTTCTTAAAATTTTTAAAAATTCTCGCGAAACATTTTAATTATTTTTTTATAAATAGTAAAATCTTTCTAAACAATATTTAATTATTTTTTTCAATAGTAAAATCTTTACAAAAATCCAATGATTTTTAAAACAATTTTAATTGAATTCCTCGGATGAATTCAAATATTTTTAATAAATATTTCCATAAATTTCAATTATGTCCAAAAATTTTAATAAATTCTTCGAAACAATTTTTATAAATATTAGTAAAATTCTCCACAAGAATTCAATTATTTTCAATTCACTTTTAATAAAATTCAAATGCTTTCAAAATTTTCAATTAAAATTATTAAAGAAACTCCATTAGTTTAAAAAAAAAAAGTTCAAAGAAATTCTTTAAAAGAATTTAATTAGGATTTTAAAAAATTTTAATAAAATTCTTTGTGAGAATTCAGTTATTTTCCTAAATAATAAAATTCTTTGAAGAAATTCTATTGTCATCATCAAATTTTTTGATAAAATTCTTTGCAACAATTCGATGATTTTCAATATATTAATTTTAAAATTGAAAATAAATAATTCCTGTGAAATTTTTATTATTTTTGAAAATAAAATTGCTAGTTTTATTTAAAAAAGGCAGTAAGAAGTTAGCCGCGTGCTTTAGCGCGCGAATTGTTGCTAGTAATTGTTTATAAATATATTTTAAATTCTTTCATGAATAATAAAATTCGTAGCAGAGGATTAAGAAAAAAGTAAATATTTTTGATGGAAATTAGGAAAAAGTCGGGAAAATAAAAAATATGTAATGGAATTTTTAAAAATTATTTGATTCGGACTGGTTATATTTTAGTCAGTAATAATAATTTTTAATTTTTGGTCCGTAAAGTCCGTTTTTTTTTAAAAATACTTTTACTGGTTCGAGCCCTGAACCCTCACTCTATCAACTCAAGTGATGACCGTTATCGAAAAAATACGACCTACCCCTATGAAGACAAGAGATATAGAGACCCGGAAAAATAGAAACAGAAAAAATAGAGATATAGGAAATAAAGTATAGAGATAAGATTCGCATCTTTATACATGAAATTTTATCAAAACAGAATATAATTGATTTCTTATTTGTTTACAATTTGAAGCCTCTAATAATTTGTAAGTAATGGAATTAAATTCGGGATAAATGGGCAAATAAAAGTGATTCACTGCGTGAGTACTAATTTCTACGGATTCGCTTGCATTGATTTACTGCAGTCGTAATCGAGGAAGCAGCTCTGGCACGGAAATCGAATCTGTGCGCTGGAACAGTGAGGAATATATATGTATATATATATAGGGGCTTGTACGAGTAGAACATGTATAGATACGCATCCCCCGCAGAGGGGGTTGACGTGCGGTTATTTATGCCCCATAGCTGGCAATCCACCCCCTGATGCTATAGTCCTGGCATGGTTTCCTCGCTTCCCCCTCTCCCTCACTCTCTCCTTCCCTCTTCCCCACCCCTTTTGGTTTAGATCGCTGTTTTCTTCATCCCTCCTTCTCTTGCCAAATGGTGCTGTATTGTTCATCTCTCTCTCTCTCTCACTTCTGCTCCTCCCTCTCTCTCTCTCTCTCTCTCTCTCTGTAACATTCCCCTTCCAATTCTGCCCTTACAATCTCTCTCTCCCTCTCTCGGTTTGCCCTTCCACAATCATGGGTTCCATGGTTCCGGTTCGTAACAGCGTTAGCAGAGCATCGGAGTGAAAACGCGTATCATCGATCCGGACCAGGCACACAACCAGCCTCCGCCTACAAAACTCTCGAGCTATCGTGAATATATATACCGTCGGCGGTTCGTCGTCAAACGACTATTTCTGGAAATAAAATTTACGATCTTGGATTCGTTTATCAATTTTTCTTCAAAGTGGACAATTTAGCAAAAAAAAGAGAGAGAGGGGGGGAGTGATTTATTTTTCTGTTGATATAATATGAGAGAAGAGTATATTTCTGTGAGAATCTGAAATTCAAGTTGTATTTTAATTAATGCTATCAAGGAATATATTTACCAGCATAACATTTTATTTTTGCAATTTCATTGAATATTTATAAAACTTAACATTGGAAAGTAACAATGAAACGAATTTTCATACACAACGAATTTTTATACCTAAATTATAGTTAAGGTTTTGCCAAACTTTTGCTCTTTTCAAATTCCCTGACTTTTCCAGGTTACGTATAATTTTTCAAGGTTTTTAAACATTTATATTTTACCAAATTTTAAATTCTCTGATTTGCAGACAAAACACTTTAAATTTTTCTCTGACTTTAAAGAATATTCTGATTTACTCGCAAAATAATTAGATACGCAAAAAAATGTTCTATTACATTTTTTTTTTTACAAATTTCGAGTCAAATTTCTTCAAAAGTAAAATTATTCGAAAACATCAATAACTTCATTTTTACATAAATATTCAATCACTATTATTTATTCATAGAAATTAAGATTTTCAAAAATTTGATATAAGAATAGTTATTATAAAACATGAAGAAAGCGATCACTTCCCAAAGTGTTCGAATCGAAGTGATCGATATCTTCATGTTTTATAATAATTATTAAAACTTGCTATAGTTTATTATATACTGTAACTTCTTCAAAAATTATTTTCATCATTTCGATTATTCACTTCTAGAATTTTAAACTAAAATTTTTCTTTGAGTCAATTTTTTAAAAATAATTTTAGAAATAGTTTTTTGAGAATTTTCAAATTCTTTTATTTACAATTTAATTTGACAAAATTTCGATTATTCTGAAATTCTTCAATTAAATTTATAATTTATAATTTATAAATTTATATTAGAAAATAAAAACTTCAAATAATTAAAAAAAAAAAAAACTTTTTGAAAAAAATTAATTCTACAGAATTGTTTATTCAAAGTATCTCGAGAAATTTTAATAAGATTTTTAAAAATAATTTCTTTTTTTTTTGAGAAACATGATTAAAGTTGCATTAAAAACAATTGAATTTCTCCAAACAATTTGGAAATAATTCAATGTCTCTAAAATTTTTTGTTATTTATGAAAATAATTAAATGTTTGCATACAATTTTATTAAAATTTTTTTAAAAATAATTTAATTCCTTTTTGGTAATTTTTATTAAAATAGTTGATACTGAAAATCATTGAATTGAGGAAATTTTTTGAAAATAATTGGAATTAGGACAAGAGTTTTATTAAAATTTTTGAAAATAATTTAATTTTGAAGAAAAATTTTATTATTTATAAAGATAATTAAAACTTTGACGAGATTTTAATTTGAAACCTTTTAAAAAATTCAATTAAATCCAAGTATTTCATTCCAATTTTTGAAAATTAACTTTAAAGAATTATAATTGAAAATTTTGAAAATAATTGAATTCTCAAAAATTTTCATGAATAATCTTCAAGTGTAAATTCAATAAAAATAAAAATTATTGAAAATTAGGTTCCAAAAATAATATTAAAATAGTTTTGAAGAAAGTAATTCTCTAAATTATTTCGTTCTATAAAGTTTTAAAATTCAATTATTTTCAATATTTTCCATTTTTCTGAAAATTCAAATACAAACACAAAATAATAACATTAGAATTTTTGAGAATTATTTTTAACATTTTGGAAAAAATAATCACAGGATTCAAAATTTTTAATAAAAATTCTTCAAAAAATTATTTTTTTTTAAATTATACAAAAATTTTTCAATTATTTTCGAAAAATTACATTACAATATTTATAAAGCACTAATTCTTAGAATTATTTTATCCTAATTTTTTAAGATTCAATTATCTTCGAAAAAAGTAAATTAGAATTTTTAAAAATTTACTATTTTAGAATTTTTTTTACTAAATTTAAATTATTTTTTAAAAGATTTTACCAAATTTCAATTTTTTTGACGTTTTTTAATTGTTTGTAATTGTAAAATTATTGTCTATCAAAAATTATTTAGAAATATTTTTAAAAAGTTAATTTCACGAATTTCTTTATTAAAATTTTTGAAAATATTCTACCTTAATATTATTAAAAAAAAGTAATTAACGGTACCAATTATTATAAAAAATTGAATTTTTGTATATAAATAATTGAATTCTCGAAGAAGTTAAAAATTGTAGAAAATAATTGAATTTTTGGAAAGGTTATAGTTTTAATTTTTAGAAAATATTAAATTTCAGAAGTTGAAATTTTTTAAATTTTATTTTCTGTAAAAAAAAAAATAAGAAGTATTCAAATATTTATTTAGTAAAATTATACAAATTTTTATTAATATTGAATTTAGAAATCAGTGTAGAATTAGGGAATTAAAAAAAAATTTCGTGACAACATTAAATTAAATAAACAACTTTTTCGACTTTTTTCTATTTGTAATCGACTAAAGCGACTTTTTTTGTTCGTTAAAGTTGATCCGAGGGCTGAACGTCAGTTTTTAAAATTTCAAAATGTCGGATCCAGTATGACGAACGAATTTTTTTAAAATGATCGAATTCGCTTCAAATTCGTAATTTTTATGAACTACGTCCGAAATTTAAAATTTTCAAAATCTGACATCGGATTCATAAAAAAAAGCGACCCCGAGTAACGAATTTGAGGTCACAGGATCTCCGAGGGTTATAATTTTTTGATTATAGTAGAGAACTATTATAAAAATTCAAATTCAGAGAGGAAAGAATATAATTCAGAATCAAAGTCCAAAGATCGGGTCCAGTATTAAGAGGAAAAATCGATTGAAAACTCATTAGAAAAAAAGAACTCAGGAAGACTTAATGACTCGGGTAATTCGGTAGATTTTTAGAGACCTCTTTCTAAGTACCTCGTAATTCAGATCGTATCCCATCGCAGGAAATTCGGTTTCTTCTTGCAACATTCAGTCGATTCCATTGTTGATCGTCTCAAACCTTTTCGTTCTATAAGTACAGACATAAAAATAAAGAACATGAAAGAGTATAAGAATAGTATTAATATATTAATATATATAGAAATATAAAAATAAAAATAGTATTTTTCAAATAAATATATTTATTTGAATAAAATTATTCTATTTTTAAATCAAATTTAATTTAGAAATTATAAAAAAATTTAGTCAAGTTTAATTTTTCGACAACTACTTTTTTACTGCCTTTACTTTCAGTCTCAATGCTACTTTTATAAAATTAATTATCGAGTACGAAGCCTGTTACATATGTTAAGTCAATTTTAAATCTTACAATAATAGCTTCAAGTTAAAATTTTATTCTAAAATGGTTTTAATCTGAACGGTTTGAGTCAAAAGTGTATCGAAAGTATAACGTATCACATTCTAAATTTAAATTAATAAAAAGTATTTAACTTGAATTAGTAACTGACTTTTTGCTTTTCAATTAGTAAATTTTACTAATAAATAGTAATTTCAACTAATTTCTTAGAAAAATTTACTAATTTGAAAGCAAAAATTCAGTCACTAATTCAAAATAGTAAACATTTTTACTAATTCAAATTTAGAGCAAAGAGTTATTTTTTATAGTGAATGATTTTGGAGGATTTTACACTGAAGCAGACAGGGCTGAATTTAAGACTTATCTTAAAATTATATTTTCTTTTTTCTTCTTATTTTTAAACTTATTAGAACTATCCACTTCAAGTCAATTTTTAGATTTAAAATTACACTCAAGGCTAAAATTCATTAAAAAATAGTTCTAATGTAAACATATTTTAATCAAAAGTTTGATCAGACAGTAAGATTATTATAGATTGTTAGGCTGCAGCAAATAAGTCTAATCTTTATAAAAAAAAATTTATAATAGATGATTTACATATATAAACAAATTTCGAAAAGAAAGTAAATTAAGGCCAAATATATACTTCGATTTGAAACATTCCGCCTTGACATTAAAATTCATTTTCAAACATATATATTCTTTCCTGAAAGGTAGTTGATAATGAACTTTCGTTTATTTACCACAAAGCATTGCTAATTAAATACGATACAGACGTCTATAACTAACTTTAATACAGCGACCTCTATGACTCCAATTTGTATTAGTGTTTGAGTGTGTATACGCGTGTACATAGAGAAAATGCATACATGTATATATATAGCATGAAAATACGACGGAATTGTGAGTCCGATGGGAAATTGTAAAGCTGGAATACGCCGGTAGTTGCGAAGAAGATAACTTTTATGATTCATCCCAGCTTCTGGCCGCGTTAACGTTTTTACCTAAACGCCTTTGCCCCCATTCCACGTGGCTGATTATAAAAAAAGAAAGAATAAGATAAGACGGTTTTAATTTTCTACATATGATTTTTTTTGTTCATTAATTAATAATGAATCGGTGACTCGTAATTATTTATATTAATCTACAAATTTATTTGTAACTAAATAATCTTTACTCACTTTGATTTGAATTACAGAGTGTTGCCACGCTTTTTCTCATTTTAAATTCCCTGACTTTTCCAGGTTAAAAAACAGAATTTTTTTAGGTTTTTAAAACTACATTTATATTTTACAAAATTTTTAATTCAAAACTTTTTGAAATTAAACAACTTATAAAAAAATTGTTATAAAACATAAAGAAATCGATCACTCCGAGTCTTCGACTCGGAGCAATCGATATCTTTATGTTTTACAATAATTATAAATTACTTTCATCATTTCAATTCAATTATTGTTTTTCAGAATTTTTAACTAAAATTCTTCTTTAAAATTAATTATTCATTTATTTTTAATAATTTTTGAAACATTTCTTTGAACATTTTCAAATCCTTTTGTATTTACAATTCAATTTTACGAAATTTCATCGATTATTCGGAAATTATTCAATCAAATATATATTAGAAAATAAAAACTTCAAATAACTTGAAAAAAATTCAATTGAACTTTTACAAAAAAATTAAATCTACACAATTTTAAGTTAAAAGTATGAAAAATTCAAACATTCAAAGATTATAATTTAAAACCTTTTCAAAACTCAATGACTATCTAAAGTTTTAACTGAAATTCATATTTGAATCAAATATTAGAAAATTCTACGACAATTCAATTATTTAAATAAAAAAAAAATATTTATTAAAGAATTAAATGTTTTCTAAAATTGAACTCTCATTTAAAGAATTTTATCAACAAATTTTTAAATAGGTAATTAAAATTCTTTTGAAGAATTTCAATAAAATTTTTAAGAATAATTTCATTTTTCGAGAAATTAGATTAAAATTGTATTAAAAATAATTGAATCTCTGTAAAAAATTTCATTGAATTGAGAAAAGTTTTTAAAAATAATTGAATTTTGAAGAAAAATTTTAATATTTATAAAAATAATTGGAATTTTGACAATAAATTTTTTAAACTTTTGATCAGAATTATTGAATTTCTGCGAAGAATTTTATTACTTTTAAAAATAATTGAATTCTTGAGACGAATTTTTCAATAATATTTCTTTTTAAATACCTAATTATTTTTAATACAAAAATAAATAATTTATTTAATAATTGAATGTTTCTTAAAATTGAATTCTCATAAAGAATTTTATGAACAAATTTTTAAATAATTGAATTCTTTTGACGAATTTTAATAAAATTTTAAGAATAATTACATTTTTCGATGAATTCGATTAAAATTGTATCAAAAATAATTGACATTTTGCAATGAGTTTTATTATTTATGAAAATAATAATTGAATCTCTGTAAAAAATTGTATTACATATTTATAAAAATAATTGAATCTCTGTAAAACTAAATTGAATATTTTTGAAAATAATGGAATTATTGCAAAGAAATTTTTTTAAAAAAATTTGTAAATAATTGAATTGCTGTGAAATATTTGTTAATTATAAAAATAATAAAAGGTTTGTTTAGAATTTTATTAAAAAATTTTTAAAATAATTCATTTCTTGTGGAAAATTTTATTAAAATAGTAGATATTGAAAATTGTTGAATGGAGGAGAATTTAAAAAAAAATTGAATTTATTAACAAGAATTTCATTAAAATTTTTGAAAATAATTGAATTTTGGAAAAAAATGTTAATATTTATAAAGGTAATTGAAATTTTGACGAAAATTTTTTAATACTTTTGATCATAATTGAATTTTTGGAAAAAATTTTATTACTTTTGAAAATAATTGAATTGTTGTGATGAATTTTTTAATAATATTTCTTTTTAAATACCTAATTGAATTCTTTTGTGAAATTTTTTTTGAAATAGTAGATATTGAAAATAATTGAATTTTGATGAATTATTATAGAAATTAATGAAATTTCTACAAAGAATTTTATTAAAATTATTTTGAAAAAAATTGAAGTGTTAAAAAAAATTTCGTTAATTTATTTTTGAAAATAATTTAATTCCTTCAAGAAATTTAATAAAAAATGAATTGACAATAATAATTAAATTCTAATAAAAAGATTATAGTAAGGCATTTTAAAATAATTGGTACCTAAAGAAATTACAAAAATAAATTTCGAAAAAATTACAATAAAAGAATATACTTGGTTCACAATATATGTTCATATATATATACGAGTATATGATCCCACCGCTGTCACCAATGAAATTTATAATTAATTGACCTCTCCTTTTTCGGAAGACACTTTTTATTATATCTTAAAATTAAATCCGTACAATAAATTCTTTAAATTACAAAATATAATTTATTATCCTTGGAATTTTTTTTACAAAATGATTTAAAAAAATGTCTCCTTTAAGCAAAACAAGATTCTGATTGCTCAGTAGAAAAAAATATATTTAAAACTTTTATAACATTCTGTATATATATATATATATTACACTTGCATAAAATTTCCACCGTCATATAGTAAAAAAGTAGAACCATATACTTATATAATAATAAAATATGTATATCAAAATTCAAGGTTGAACTCTGTCACGGTAATGCGATTAAAAAAACAACATAATGATCCATAAACTGGTGAACAATTTTTTCTTAAATATTTTACAAAAGATATATTAGAGGCGCGTAATTTTTATTACATATGTGCATATATAGATTTTTACAACAGTTATAAAAAAAGGGTACAAACGTATGTTTAAAAGGAGGCGAAAAGCAAATAAAACTTTTTTTTAAATATTTGAAAATTTAATTTAATTACGAAAGTAAAAATTGTATAAATTTTTACACTGATGGTAACTTTAGAATATCAAATTGCAACAAATTGATACTAAAACTGTGGATCAAATCAAAAATTCAGCTACATTTTTGGTATTAAAGTATATTAATAGTCAATTTAATACTTTGAAGAAAACTGTTAATTGAAGATATAAATTTTAATAAAATATTCAATCGCGGTCTTCCTTTTTGGTTTCTTTAAAAGCTCGCATCTTTTTAAATGAGAGATTGAGAAAAGTCATTTTATTGATAAAAGAACTGAACTTATCCGGTAGCAACGACAAAGTGTGTTATCGTCGTTAGAATCACGCGCTTTTGTCAGCGGCCGTGAAATTAAAAAAAAATATCTTTTACCAAGGTCTAAAACACCTAGAGCGTTAGCGTTGCCATGAGAGCGGCCATAGAGCTCTGTAATTTGCCTTCATAAAATCTGACCAAGAAAGCAAAAGAAAAAAAAATAAGCAGAAAAAAAACTCAAGCCTGTCGAAGGGAATAACGTTAGTTTGCCGTGAATTTATTTTCCATTTAGTTACGAGAAAATTGCGTACCTCGCATCCCGTAACATGTAGTTAGGTACAAGCCCATGTATATATATATACACACCTCTAACTATATCCCGATCGTGAATTCTGTATTTTATGTTCGCGCACAAGGGACCAACAACACTTCTTCGCCTCCACCTCCATATTCGGTTGGTTCAAATATATTTTCTCCATATATAATGATTATATGCATGGCGTGATATTATACGCAGAAAGAAGATGGCGTGTATTTTATAATTATAATAGAATTACCATTTTTTGG